AAAAGGGTAAAAAATTTGTCTTCGGCTAATTAACCTGTTCAGTAAGAGTGCTGCAACACATGTAGGATCGACAATGTCCATATCTGCAGACCATGAAATCGGTCAAGTACTTCACAATTTTTAAGTTAATACTTGGTGTAGAAAATCAAGCTGAATCTGTAAATTATGAATTAAATTAGGAATTCTGCTAAGCTAAGATTGTTTCCTTGTATGTTTTTTTGCAATTTTTCCTTTCCATATAGGTTTAGATTAATTGCTTACTTCTAGCAAATTTGAGTCTTTGTGAATAAGAAAAACTTCTCTCATACATATCTTCACTTGGCGTGTCAATAGGTGTTTTAAAAATAGGAAATAAACACGGTTACAACCGAAAAGAGAAATACAAAAGGGACAGAGGTCCAACCATATATATAAAATGGCAACCGCCGATCTACTAGATTTGAAAACATAACCGTAATGCATAACTTTCTCTTAAGGATGGTTCGGTTCCTTAAAAGATGCAAACAGATTTCCTTGTTTAACCACAAATCATTTTCCCATTGTTTTGAATACTTTCAAAGTGTAACTGGAGATATCTAATAGAGAAAGATACTCTATCGAGGAGAGTTATTACTCAGGATATGGAGTTTTTCCCAAGATACTCTCTGGGTTAATTGGAAAAGGGAGTCCTTCAAAGTTCTGCAATAAAAGCTTTACTTTGTGGATTATTTCGATCGGGAAAAACAATAGAATTTTCAACCATTGGCATAGGGTCTAAGCACTTGAAATTTGTACATCACAGCCTCTACTTGGAGTGCTTTATATAAAAGAGTGAAAAAATTTCCAATGGGCCTTGATGTTAGAAGAATTTAATAGAAGAAGGTTGGAGATTCAAGCTGCTCGAGCTACGGAGCTAGCTGAAATTCAAGCAAATTCTACCCGAAAATCAAAGAACTATATGTAGAAGACAAAGATGGAAAACCCAAAGTTAAAGACCACTAAAACTTCTCTTTTGTGCCATCACATCTTGGTGGATCTTTTTGTTTGAAGTTAGCGTGATCCTATTGTTGGCTTTTGATATCACTCTTATTTTGATTGTATTGCTCATTGTCGAGCCTATATTTTGCTTTCATCTTTTCTTTTTTCTCTCACTCCTATGGGATTTTGTATTCTATTTCTTCCTTTAATATATCAATGAACAGTTGTTTCTTGTCCAAAAAACATATTAATACTAACTAGTTATGTTTTCTATAAACCCTTATTCCTTGGATAGGTGTCATAATTGGTATATTTCTTACTTCCCTTGCTATCTCTTTCTACCTTCTTCTGAGGTGCATGAAACCCGATGCTTCTTATCAAAAAAAGAATGGTGAGGAAGATTCTAAGTTTCCCATTGATGTAAATCCTTTTGAATAGAGTTGAGAAGAAAATCACCAGAAGTGGATGTATAATAACAATGAGAAGACATGTGGTCCCTTGTTCTAATATTTTGTGATTTTTATTTTTTCATCGAGGAAAATGAAAGAATACAAAAAAGGCTTCTAAAATGACAGCCCTGAAAAGGGAACCAAAACAACTAAAGACCTAAGAAGATAAAAAATTACTCCAATCCAAAAAACCAAAAAAAAGAGAGAGAGAGAGAGAGAGAGAGACATGCAGATTTGAATAATCCACAAAGGGGTGGATTATTTTGCTCACTTCAAAATTGGGAAATGGCATGCAGATTTCCTTTTGCCAGGATGTAGGGATTGTGAATTCATCTCTAAACCTTATTATCCTCTTCCATTTGTGTATCTTGCTTCTCAATGGTGTTGTTGCAGATCGGGACACTTCATGCCTCTCCTTGGCTCAATAATGGGGTTAATGCTATTATTTCTCAATTTTGGCTCGAATACAACCAAAGAGTATTTGATAACTCTCAAAAGCATGGGTTTGATCATCCCGAGGCGGTTAGATCAATGGTGTGCTCTTTCGAAGATTTTTTCTAGTTTTTC